ACCCGAGCGTACTCGATATTCTTCGGGCTAATTGGAGTTGTGCTCCTCCATTCACGCTTATAAATTACATTCACACATTCATTTAAACTACCCCATTTATCGGTTTAGGAGAATTGACTGTACTGTATAGGATAACCGCAGAATGAGGTAGTATTTTTATACTCTTTCAGGTAATTATATTCTCTAAATATAAACCCAAAGGTCGTGGGTTCGAACCGCCTCGTGACCCTAACTTTTTCATTTCCATCAAGACCTTACATAAAAAGATAATTAATTGAAAGAAATACGTTTGCCAATCAGACCATCAAAGGAAAAACATGTATGTTTACTAGGTTGTAATACTTTGCTTTGAAAAAACAAACAAACTGAGTATTATGTTATTTTTTTATTCCCGATTGCTGACATCGTTAAAAAATAAATGTTTATTTACAGGCATTTATAATATCGCTAGTGAAGACATATTTACTTGACACAAAACAAATGGGAGTCAAGGAAACTTTGAATTAAGTGATAGTGATAATTGTCATAGAATAATCAAGATAATATGCGTGTTTATTTCTCCTTAAAACATTAATACATTTTTAACATAAACGTTAAGCGATATGACTTATTTTGTGGGTGTGGTGGACTTAAGTGTGAGCGGTTTTACGTTCCTAAGTTCAGATTTACCTTCTTGTTAATGAGATTAATTATTTTATCGTAAGTGCACTGTCTTTTACGACAGATCCAGTTTACAATCTTGTTAATGAATACAGAAACCTCAGGAATATATTTTATCCGCAAACGTTTGCCACTTGCCAACGCCCTAAATTGTATTATTAAACGATTTAAGCCCAAGGTAAGTTGTAGTTCTATTTTGAATATATAATGAATAAAGGAACGCCAGGACTATTAATTGAGCATAAGTGATAATGGTTTTTTGAATTATCAAGATGATTGACGTATTTATTTCTGCGCAAAACAATTACCACACAACGTGTTAAAACTTGTTTTATTCTTCACTTAACAATTGATATATACCAAAATCACATTATTGCTAAGAGTTACCATTTACTTTAAATTAAATTAATAAAAGCTTTAAATATTATTAATAAAAGCTCATTATAGCGGTAATATAGCCGATCTAATAATAGGTGCAGAACAAACTTTTTTATTTTTTATTTTTTAATAACAGGTTTGGTTGTTGTGCAGTCAGACAGGACTAAAGAAATAGTAGTTGTGCACAAGAAAATATATCACAAAAATGAAAAATTTGTTAAAAGATAATAAGATTCATGTAAAAGTTACTACAGTAAAACTACAGGCATGGTGCAACAATATGGACAAAGCACTGCTCGATTTGAAAGTGATCAATTTTGGGGAAAAAAGAAATATAGCACATACACAGGGAGATTACCAAGAATGTATGGTACATAAAGGTAAAAGAAAAGATAAGTGTAGACCGATCATCAGTACAATAAATTCACCTCTTTACAATATTGCACATATACTTTTAAAACCAGTAAATTCAATATCAAATATATAGCAGGGGCATTATGTTAAAAAACTCAAAAGAATTGAAAGATATTTTAAAACAGATAAAAATTAAGAAAGATTATGTTTTAACTAGTATAGACCTAGAATAGAAGTACACTTCAATTCCAGTTAACGAAGCTATAATAGAAAAATGGAAAGTACTTTTTTAATCTTAGAAAATTTGTAACCAATTCATATTTCATCTTTAATTGGGTAATATATAAACAAAAAATCGGCTTGCCGATGGGAGGAAGCTCCCCAGTAATTTATATAAATGGGTTAATAGAAAAAATTATAAACACCACAAAAGCCCGAGTACAATTACTTAAAAAATATGTATAGATGACACTATAATAATTGTGCACACAGATGTCCCAAATGTCCTATTAAAACAATCATTTACATAAAAATATAAAATTCACTTTAGGAAACAGAAAACAATAAGAAATCGCTATTTATAGATTTAGAACTAATAAGAAATGCAAACCAAAAACTTACAATTAACTTATATAAAAAACCAACATGTTAAGACATTACATTAAAATTTTAACATTAGTACACAAATATAACTTTTAAACAATGAACTAAGTGATAAACCTTTTCACAAATGTAATGTGAGTGGAATTAGGGAAATACAAATAAAAAAATAATTACCTAAAAATTCTGATTGAAATAGCTATAAAACAACAACGTAAGTCTTTTATAATGTTAAATCTAAACAACAAGATAAAGGAAAAAAGGAAATCCTCAATATGTAGGACGAATAGATGTCAAAGTATTAACAGAAAATCGTGTGTCCCCACCCCTTCAAAATCCAACGTATATAAACACAAAATAGCAAAATCTCACTGGCACGACACGCAAGAATGGCACAATTACACAGAAGACAAACACTGAGTGAGTAGAAAGATTGATTGAATATATAAAAAATATATTTTGCATTGTATAAATTCACTTTTCCACATTCAAAATGTAATTGTTATATGTAAACAATGTTTGTAAATCCCAAGCCCTGAAGATGATCTCAATAAAGATCGAAACGTTGGCACGATAAAGAAAATGTTTTTCTGAAACCTACATCACACTAGACCGCATCTCACGATTTCTAAATAAATAAAAAACAGAAAAACATTAAAAATATGTAAACAAGAGGAAATATGTAATTGTTTTTTCTATTCGTACATTGGTGAAAAGTTATACAATATTTTGCCTCCCATAATGCCTACTATTGCAAAACTTAAAAATAGTAAATAATTTATAAACTAAAAATGTTCATATAAAAAACATACACTGGGGAAACTTTACAATTCCTATACGAAAGAATTAGCCAACATAAAAATAATTAAAAAAAAAGAAGTGGTAATACTGATTTAAGTCAACATGTAAAAGATACAGGACGTAATATAAATTTTGATAAGGTAAAAATATTAGGCAGAGAGAATAATTAGAAAAAATTAATTGGGTTGGAGAATATCTATACAAACATATATAAATATACAACAAGATAAAAACAAAGTATGTAAACAATAGAAAAATATTTTAACTATGTATAAAAATAATGGAAAATGTAATAAATAAAAATGTATATAAAACTTATTACTATAAAAATAATTACTATATAAAACGAAAACTAGTAATTTAAAATTAAGCTTGAAATACAAACCAAAAAGAATTAATAAAATAAAAAACAAACATCATAGCTTATAAATAACGCCATATATTCGATACATGTGACTCAGCGGGGACACAACATAATTTAATTATATTTTATAAACATTTAAACCTAAAAAGACATTGTTTTGTAAAATAATATGTAAACTTGTACATTTTAGAAACTCAAGACTGATGAGGGGGAGGCGGATGCCCCGAAATCGATCTCTTAAATAAAACAAGTAAAAAGAACACGGCTCTGATTAGTTCCAATACATCACAAATGAAGTAAATAATTTTACAAACCGTGTTTCTTCTTTATATTGGTTTTTATCGGCAGAAGTTCATTCCTTGTTATTTTTAAAATTTGAGAAACCCTAGAAAGCTTTTATTTTTCGAGCTGGCGGAAGGAAGTTCCTATAAGAACGGGTTGTGTACAAGGAAATCTTCCCCTCGGCGTACTTTTATTTTGGCCCAAAGATAAAAATTATTTTTTTAAAAAATAATTCTAGACTTTTAAAGTTAATTTAAACTAATTGGCCTTAATAATGTAATTTAAGCGAAGGCCTGATTGAGAAGAAAGAGTAAAAAAAGAGAAAGTAGTTAATTTACCTTTCACTCGCAGGCATTGATAATAATTATATATATTGACCGATTAAAATAAAGATATAATTTTTATTTATTTAAATTTGGATAACTTCATTATTATCATGATAATTTAGAGATCGCGAGATCTGCTCTGGTGTGACGTTGGTTTTAGAAAAACATTTTCTTTATCGTGCCAACGTTTCGATCTTTATTGAGGTCATCATCGGGGCTCAAAGTGTTTGTTTTCTACGTAGTTGTGTCATTCTTGTGTGTCGTGTTGAGAGAGCCAGTGAGATATTGCACTCTCAACACGACACACAAGAATGACACAACTACGCAGAAAACAAACACTTTGAGCCCTGAAGATGATCTCAATAAAGATCGAAACGTTGGCAAGAGAAAGAAAATGTTTTTCTAAAACCTACGTCGTACCAGACCCCATCTCACTATCTCCAAATAATCATTAACTAACGATCACTAAACACCACACATTATCATGATATTTGATCTGAATACCATTTGTACTGTTTCATCTGACGTTTGTTTAACAACGTTCATTGTAGTTGTAGCGGAAGTAGTTGTAGCAATTCAATGGCCAATACATATTAAAGTTCAAGCTGATGGACACAATGAGACCTGGATGCTATTGAGGCAGATCCTAGAAAAGATATCCGTTAACCAAACTAGGCCTGACCCAGTAACCTGTGAATTGCACTCGTTATGAAACGAGAAACCACCGAGTAGAAAAAATACCTAGGCCGCAAGCCCTCGAGGAATGCCCTGCACTTTCAACATTTTGATGGATATAAGAGATTAAAATAATATCAAACTGGACTTACGTGAACAATATTTCATGTTTTTAACAAAGGTCAAAGAGTGTAACGGTATAAGAGGAAATTCTTCAAGACAGTAGTATTTTTCCTTTAAATTTGTTAAAATGAACGTGAGTTTTCATAGCAAACAATTTATGTCCGAATTTGTTACTTCTTGGAAGCATATAAAGCATTAAAAGATAAATACTAATTAAAAAATAAAACAAAAACTTTAACTTATCAATAACAGTGCAAAAGTTAGTACTGAAAATATCGTGAAAGAAACCAAATTATATTTATTTGTATTAGTGATTAGTCTTTAAATACATACAAATAACAAGGTTGAAAAACTTGTTTGTGTATATAAATTTTAAACCTCCATAACATTGGAAAATAACGAGAGGTAAATGTTTTTGTTTTAATTTTTCACCAAAACATGTCACCAATAAACCCCTACCCAATATGACATTAATGTAAACAAACAAAAATAATACTAGACTTTCAGCATTTTAATAAGTCGTGTTTGTACCAGAAATATAAGCAAAGGGTTTAATCCGAAGTCTCTAGTAACTGGAAGTCACGAGTACATCAAAGAAATTTGAATAAATAATGTATAAAATATTGGTAAATATTTGTGTAGGTGCTAGGCTGTACTGTATAAAATAATCGAAAGAAATAGCATTTTTATACACTTTCAGGTAATCACTTTCTCTAAAGATAATATTTTATATTTACTAGCTTGTAATACATTGCCTTGAAATGAATAAAAATTGTTATTATGTTTTTTCTATTATTTCGGAATATTATTGTTAACATTATAATGATAAATTTTGGTGTGTAGATTACCTAGGCTCTCTTATTGGCTGGTATAGGATAACCGGACTTTGGTAATTTTGTATACTCTTAGAAGTAAGTGATACTTTTTTTAAAGTTATAGTTTAGTTTTAATTAAAAGTTTTTTTTTAAGATCATATTTTATATTTAATAGCTTGTAGTATTTAGTTTTGAAATGAATAAAATATGCTATTATGTTAGTACATATGTAAAATGGATAAATATTAAACTACCTTAGCTGTAAATGAAATAAGAAATAATGGGTATAAACGATCTTAGCCGTTGAAACGCCTTTAAAAATTAATAATAATAATAATAATATAATAATGGGGATAAAACGTACAGTTTATTTTCCGATGTTTGTAAAACATCCAAATGTCAATTATTTTAATACTGATGTAAGCTAAAATGAAGTTGAGCTTTTAGCAAGACACATAAATATTCCATTTTTCAAGAAGAAAAAATTGTTTTTGTACTGGATGTCTTGTTTAAAGGCAATACTATAGTATATTAATCCATATTTTCGAATGATTTAATAGTTCTAAGTAATATATAGTATAGCAATAAATTATTCTTTTTCTCCAAGGTCTTGGTTGAGATGAAAAAGTTAGTGACACGAGCGGATTCGTACCTACGACCTTCCGCTCAATACACCGCTGCTTGAGCGATCGTGAAAGTCTGTATTAGATAGAAGTGGTCAGAGCAGCGGCGTATTGAGCCGAAGGTCGTAGGTTCGAATCTCGCTCGTGACAATAACTTTTTGATCTCAACCAAGACCTCGGAGAAAAAGAATAATTTATTGCAATACTATATGTTACTTGGAACTATTAAATTATTCGAAAATGAAAAAACTAAAATTTAAGATTTCATTAACTAAAGAAAAAAAATAACAATCAGAAAATCATGATATAATTCTAACAACTTAAGTAGCTTGTTTTCACAATTCATAAAAGTGAGAAGTTTTGAAATCTTTTGTTATCTTTGGTCAATTCATCGGTTCACAAAAATTTGGTTCATCTTGAAGCAATTAAAATTGACAAGGTCGACAAATAATAAGGCTGAGAATTAAAAAAATATTTTCAAAAATTTCTTTTATTATGAATGTATGAAATAACAACAAAAGATGCAAAAATGTTAGATTTTGTTATCTTCCAACTGGGAGTTCATGTTGTTTTGTTAAATTTTTTTATTTGTTAATTCAAATAAGTTAAATGTAAGTTTGCTTAAGGCCCCTCATTCTATGAAATCTATTGTTAGGCAATTCATGACAATTCCCAGTTCGAAACTAATTAAGCTCAATGAGATTTAAAGGTTGACATTGAATAAATTATATTAGGTCGTGCCTGCACTTTATAGAAGAAAGCAACGTGAAAAGCCCTTATTTCATGTTCGTTCAAAAACACCAGCCTCGAACGATTTTCCAAGTGTCCGTTTTATACTTGACGAGTTATTTTTGGGCTTGTGTCCAAGGCAAAAATGTGAAAACGAAATGATTCGAGTTCTGTTTACGCCGTTCGTTATCGCCGTTGCCTCGGTCCGAGAACTTTTTTAATATCCGGAATCCGTCAGTTTACGATTCGTTGTAAAATAAATTTGTTGACGTCAGACCGAAAAAAAAATTATACCGAGAAGGATGTGTAGAACAATTTGCTTCAGTGGAGGCTTGAAATTTGACGAATCTCGTCTTGAAGTTAACTAGGATTGGCTATTTTATTTCCTTCGTTAAATAAGTTTATCATCATTTTAATGACTACACAGAGTCCTGAAAAACACATGTTATCCAGATATGCTCGCCCCCTTCTAAACGCTCTAAACTTATTTTAAGCACGTATCAAATAAGCTATTTTATTTCGAATTCAAAATATTTATTTTTAGTAATAGTAAACATTGTTTAAAGTTAGAAGAAAAATGTCTAGTTTGGAATTTTTGTGCAGATCGGCTATCCTCGTCAGTCAGGCTAGTTTGGGCTTTCCGCATTCGTCAGTTGGTCTGTGTGATATTTTCGCAATCGTGTCTTCTAATAAGTTTGTAAATGTTCGAAAGCCTAGAGAAAATATATCGCAGTCAATGTTTTTGTTCTATTTTTTCAACATACGTAATTTGGTCGTTTTCTATCATCCTCTGTCAGACCATCGTCAGTGGTTGATCTGTGTCTTTTAAAAGTATTTAAATGTTGAAAAGGCGTGTCTGTCAGCCCGACCAATACAGAAAGAAAATGCTGACTAGGGTCGTAAACTACTTTGTATACCTCCAGAAAAATTCTCAGAATATTAAGTTGATGTTTTTTCTCTTTTGGCTGGTTTTAATATTTATTAATCTGTCAACTACACAATTGCACAAAATTGACACTTCCTCCTTTTTAAATTGTAAGACCGTACGTTCATCTGTGTAAAGTTCACAGAGTCGAAGAACCTTGTGATCATGCTTTCATATCATCACGAAACTTCGATTACACCCGAGGCACGACGGTGCTGTCACTTTTTACAAACATGCTGTTTGGTACTCATTATACCAAATTGAAAGAGAGGCATTATCAATCCAGTTAAACAGTATTGTATTACGGCCCAGGCATACAATAATTTTGAAGATGATCTGTGTCTTCGTTACAAAAAATAATTTGCAAGTGCTTAAGTAGGGTGGTTTGTTGTTAATTATGAGTGTAGACTGTAGGGTGAATATGACGTCATCTCTATTGAGGGGTGAATAAAATATTATAGGGGGTTCACTGGTCTGGGGGTGGTTTACGACAAGACCTCGTTATTTTCAATGCAGTCGTTCAATCGCCGGTTAGATTCGTCCAAGAGTAAATGTAGAACCGAAAAAAATGTGTAATTACAAATTGCTCTGAATTTCCAGGGGCTCCATTATTTTATTTCCAGTTAGTGCACCAATATGGGAATAGCCCGTTTGGCTCGATACTCACCAGTTTTCCATGAAATCCCAAATTAAAAGATAAACCCCGAAGAACCGGCCTTTGTTTTATAAATACGCTGGCTGAAATCATCATCTGTTTGAAGATTCTGTGTTTAAAAAAAAGTTAAAGGGGAGCCGAACGATCGGCTCAATTTAAAAAAAAAGCCAACAGAAAAGATTGAAAAGCCAAACGATTCACAGCTAAAAGATTGTTTGATTTTTTTTTATTCCAAAGGTTGCTTCTTTTTAAAGATTTTGTAGGTTACTCTTTCTAAGATGAACAGGTACAACCATGTTTGATTTTTTTATTCCAAAACTTGTTTCTTTTTAAAGATTTTGTAGGTTACTCTTTCCGAGATGAACAGTTTCAACAATGTTTGATTTTTTTTATATTTCTAATGTTGTTTCTTTTTAAAGATTTTGTAGGTTACTCTTTCTGAGATGAACTGTTACAATAATTCATTATATTCCGTGGTCCGATTGACCAAATAACTACTTTTTTCAATTAATTCATCTTTTTATGTAAGCTATTGGTTGAAATTAAAAAGCTAGTTGTTTGATTTTTTTACTCCAAAGGCTTGTTCAAAATATATAAAATTTATTTTAAAAACACAATTGGTTGTAACTGTTCGCAAAAAAGTATCCTACAAGATCGTTTCTTTTGGCTTTCGAAAGAAAATTTTTAATATTTTAGAAAATTGTGAAGCAAATAAAAAATACAATAATTTTGGACAAAACACTATAAACAATATACGTTTTTCCTCTGTATTAGCTGTTTTATTTCGTCTTTTTCTTAGAACTTTAATTAAACAAAATCTTCCAATTTTTTTGTATTTTAAAGTCTAAGCAAAATTACTTAACGGTTTTTTCGTTTATCCAAAAACATAAATTGCTATATTAATGATTTTAATAAGACATATTTCATAAATCTTTAACTAACGAAAACATTCTGCAGGAATAAATATATTAATTTTATGTACCTTGATATTTTTACATTATATAAACAGGTTGTTTTCCAACATAGTGGATGGAAACATAGTACAAACTTTCTGGCTAAGTAACTACCAAGTCTACCGTTCCAAACGATTGAAATTGAATAAACATTTTCTTCTGTCTCATCGACTAGTTGCATATATATTTATGTTTTATGCGAAGTTTTCTTTTTAAATGGCTCAGCTGAATTTCTCTTGAACAGAAAACGTTATCGAAAAACTTAATAATTCTCATTTAATATTTTTATTCTAATTTTATTATTATTATTAATAATCATTTTAGTCTAGTTTTTATTATTTCATTATTAAAATATTTATTGTCAAGGTTCTTCAGAGCCTGTACGTCTTTCAAATTTTAATTGAGAACGTATACTTTACCCACTGTTTAAAGGATTTTTTACGACGGAAAACGATAGTTCAATCATATTTTAAATTGGTCAAAGAATACCAAATTTATGGCACAGAATGTGAAAAGAGATATCTTTAAGTTCGTTTTTATTATTTAAGTATTTTCATTTGCTGTTTTCATGCTAGTCGGTTTTATGAATTTATTGGGATGATAATAATGAGTCTGCTACTAGTGGGAACGAACGTTTATTGTTAATAAACGGTTACTTTTTTAAAAAGTACTTTGCATGTTTCGAATATTTTTAAAAAAAAATTATCGTTTATTGTCTAAAAACGTGGGTACCCACTGGTAGCCTTAAAAAAAAAAAGAAAAAAAATATATATTTTACCACTTATACAAAGCGTTTTTATAAAAAATATTATGTGATTTTATCTTAGTGAAATTAGTTATTTTATCAAAAATTATGATAAATCCGGAATAATCTAAGGCAAAAAACAGGCAACATTTCAACCTAGAGAACCTTCTACTAGGAATTTGAGGGAAAACTGATATGGATCTAATATTTAATTAAACAATTGGATTTTTATATTTATCTACATAAAAATGTAACACCATTTTGATATAAACTGCTAACTCAATTGGTATCATCATGACGCTCACCAAACCAAAAATCAAATTAGGGGTTATTTCAACAATAAAATACACCAATAATAACTTTTTATTGATTTTTATTTCCTTCAATAGAAATAAGGCTAGGAGAAAGATGGTATAAATTGGAGCAGAGTTAATGAAAGGATTGATGGGCGTGATTGCAGTGCATG